CCGAAATATGGGGACATATGGGGAAACCTGGGGAAATGTGGGGAGCTCAAGGCCGAACTGGGCGTGCTGACTGCCCAGGCCCCCGCGGAGAAGCCCCCCGGGAGGGCACAAAATTCTCCACTCCGGGGGGGGGGGGGGGGGAGTGTGAGCGGTGCTCTTGTTCCGTCCTGACGGCGTGTGGGGTGTGCTCTACACACCTCCATCACACCATCCCCCCACCCCCCCATCACACCTCCATCCCCCCATCCCCCCATCACACCATCACACCTCCATCACACCACCAGGCCGCCTTCGTCGACCAGCAGCTGGGCGACAAGGAGGCGGCGGCGGCGGCGTACGCGACACTGGCCTCGTTCAAGGCGGAGAGGCAGCCGAGATGCCGCGCCGAGATGCCGCCGAGCTGTAGCCGGGGGAAGGGAAGGGAAGGGGGGGGGTGGGGGGGGGTGACACGTTTGGGCGACGTGATCACATGTTGAGAGATGGGGAGAGATGGGGAGAGATGAGGTCGTGGCACACCACGAGCACGCTCGTGAAGCCCCTCGACGCCGGAGAGATATGGGGAGATATGGGGAGATATGGGGAGATATGGGGAGATATGGGGAGAGATCGACCGCGCGGCAGCGCAGCGTCCGCTCGTTGCACCTGCACTCCCGTCACGCACCACCCACCCACACCCAGCCAGTCGGTTGCGGCCGTGTGCGGGGATTCGCATCTCGGCCGGGTAGGGGAATCACCGACTCTGTGAAGAGCCCACGACTCGACACTGCCACACTGGGGCCTCGTAGCGTCTGCACATGCGCACGAGCTCTGTAGGCGGAGCTCGAGGTCGCCGTCGCCGCCGTCGTCGCCAACAACACTGTCGCGCTGCGCGGCGAGGCGGGCCTCGTAGCAGCGGCAGTAGCAGTAGTAGCAGTAGTAGTAGTAGTAGTAGTAGTAGTAGTAGTAGTAGTAGCAGCAGTAGTGGTAGTAGTAGGAGGAGTGGTCGTAGGAGGAGTGGTGGGAGCAGGAGTAGGAGTAGGAGTAGGAGTAGGAGTAGGAGGAGAGCAGCGCCACACGCCCTTGGGCGCATGTCTTCGTCCCGCTCAGTCGCCTCCTGGCGTCGGCCCGGCGACCCTGGTCGCACTCGTGGACGGAGGCGCCACCGACTTTCCTGAGCCACTCCCACCTCGTGAGCTGTCCGGTGAGCTGCGTGACCTGTGCGTCCAGCAGTCCGGGCCCGGTGCTATAGCCGGTGACAGCGTGCCTCGTGTCGGCTCCCGAGCCAATCGTGTGCAGCGTGTGTGTGTGCGTGTGGGCCCGTCCTCCATGCTGGGAGGTGTGTAGCACTGACTGGCTCCCTCGTTCGGCAGGCGAACCTGTTCGGTAGTAGTAGTAGTAGTAGTAGTAGTGGTAGCAGCAGCAGCAGCAGTAGTAGTAGTAGGAGGAGGAGGAGGAGGAGGAGGAGGAGGAGGAGGAGGAGGAGGAGGAGGAGGAAGCCATAATCCCTCGTTCGGCAGGCGAACCTGTTCGACTCGTGGAAGAAGGCAAAGGCGAACCTCGCCGAGCCGCTCGTCAAGAAGCTGACGCCACACCAGCGGCAGGCCTTCCTCGCGAACGCCGCCCTCCTCTCCGTCGCTATGTCGCGGCCGGAGCAGGCGCAAGTCGAGCGAGGGAGAGGGAGGGAGGGAGGGAGGGAGGGAGAGAGGGAGGGAGAGAGGGAGGGAGAGAGGGAGGAGAGAGAAGAGAAGAGTAAGAGAGAGAGAGAGAGAGAGAGAGAGCGAGAGCGAGAGCGAGAGAGCGAGGGAGAGATAGCGACGGAGACAGAGACAGAGGAGCGGCGGCGGAGGCTCGCCAGTCATCACTGATGAGCCCCTTGCCCCACGGGTTGCAGGCAAAGGAGTGCGTCTCCTCGCTACGCAGCGAGCACCGCTCTCCTAGATGCTC